CAGTTGTCTCCTTCCACTTTTGGGAGCCGTGATTTTGGTGAAGAATTGTATTTGCCATGGTGTATTCACAGTATGTGTTGGTTTCCCTGACAATGATGTCCATCAGGGGTTCATCGAAGAATAACTCAAAGCAGTCCAGTCACTGGCATTGTTCCCAAGTGGGCAAATGGCTTTTTTCCACTTTTTGTTTTAAACAAAGTCATGGGGACTGGGAACAAACTCGTCACCGTCCTGCCAATCCCAGATGCGGTCTGCTGGTGGGGTCTGGATATTGTACCGTGGTTGTGGGTGGTTGTGGCTGTGCAGGTTGTGGTGGTGCAGGTTGTGGCAGTGGGGTAGGTGAGGCTGGTTGTTCTGCTGAGTCAGCCGCGTGCTAGTAGCGTGGCCCGGTGATGTGCCACATGGCCGTGCCACCCTCACTATCACCACCACTGCCTCCTCCCTCACTGTCACCATTCATACCCATCGTTTTCAATATCGTCATCTTCACTATCAGGTCGTGGTGTTGGGCCACGGATTGTCCCAGAGTTTCTCCTTTCCCCCTTGGGAAAAACATATGAAACACTACCAGACCGCATGCTACGTCGTACATACTGGCGCTTCACTGGGGAATATTCACTCTCACTGTCACTAGAACTGCTTTCAATGACCTTGAAATCACTATCACTCATTTACTGCTATCATCAGGGTGTTGTACACGACCAAATAGTTTCCTCTTTCGTCCTGGTACAGGCGAAGGTGAATGTGAACAAGCCGGCACAGCACCAGAGGTCGAAGGTTGTGGGTCATCTGGGTTTTCGTCACTAATTTACGTTATCCTGGGCACTTTTTTCGGTAACAAATCACTTGAAAACCCTTTTAATTCACTGTCACTGACATTTTCATCGCTGTTAGAGCTATCACTGGAAAAAAAAGACCTCCAATCCGCCGAGGAGTGAGGAACTTCTTACCCAGAGGCATTGTGAAAATGAAATGACAACATGGCGTTCCCACAATGCACCGCTAGGTCCCAGATTTTTTTCACAGGGTGCACACCGACCACTGAGACCCATTCTCTCCCGTGTAGGCCTACCAGGCCTTTGGCGCGCGATTTGAAGCCGCTAGAATTTGTGCGTATAAATACGTCAGAAACATTGGCTCGTAAGACGTATTTATACGTCGGAAACAGTCAAAGGGTTAAAAGAAGAAGGGAAGTAACCCCAGAAAAGAACTTGCTACCTGAAGTCCTAATGGAAGGAGATTCTCCTTCCGAACAATAGTGTACACCTTCTTCCTATCCCCTCCTCCCATCTTCCATCCAGCCAGAAGTCTTCAGTAAAGGTAAGTGTAATGTTATTATTATTTTTTATATGCATGTACTTGATTTCTGATTGTTTTCAGTATGTAAATCTTTATTTAATTTGAAAAAAAATATTTTAATATTTTTGGGTGTCTGGAACGGATTAATTTTATTTCCAATATTTCTAATGGGAAAAATGGTTTCGAGTTTCGTGAATTTCGACTTTCGGCAGGCTCTCTGGAACGGATTAATCACGAAACTCGGGGGTCCACTGTATTTCTTATGGACAAAATGGTTTTGGTTCTGGCTGATAGCTCTGGAACGGATTAAACACGAAAACCGAGGGTCCACTGTAAGTGTATTATTGTAAGTGCTTTTGTAAGTGTACTTTTGGGGGTCTGGAACCAACTAATCTAATTTACATTATTCCTTATAGGAACAAATTTGTTTTGTAACGGCACTCAAACAACCTCCTGGAACAAATTATGGCCGAAACTCGGGGTATCACTGTACAGTGATCTATAAGTGCCTAAAAACCTCAGGCTGTAAAAAAGTGTGCTAGAGGTTACCGGCCATTCATCACAGTAGGAGCTGCCAGAAGTCACCAGTTTCTCCAACACGCAAGTTATACTTTTTTTATCAAACTGAACATATTAATAATATTCTGGTAGCCTTTTCACAAGCTAGTCCAAAATCACAAACCAGATTAGTTAAAAAATAAGTGATCCACTGACTGGATTCGTCCAAAAATAAATGAACCAATGACCAGATTCAAAAGCTGAAAGAGTTTCTAGATGCTCTTAACACCCAACCGGATTCGTTGAAAAATAAGATATCCTCTGACTGGATTCATAAGCTGACAGGGTTTTTAGGTGCCCTTATCAAACTACTTTTATAGTAGGCCTATCTAGCCAGCCCACCTTGAAGAACTGTTCAAGTGTACCAGGAGGGAAGAGTGTTGTATGGGATTGAAACTACAGTGGATCCCCGGTTATCGGCCGTAATGCGTTCCAGAAGGTCAGCCAATAACCGAAATGGCCGAAAACCGAATTAATATTTCCCATAAGAATTAATGGAAGGAGGAGTTAGTGTTTGGAAGGGAAATCCCCCTCCATAAAGACTTTAGGTAGCAAAGCCTTCTCAGGGGTTACTTCCCTTCTTTGTCTTTTAGTGCCACTAGGACCAGCTTGAGAGTCAATGGACCCCTGTCTCACAAAATAACTGTCCAGAGTGCTCTGTTTCTGGTGTCTCTTTAAGATTTCCTTGAAGTGGGACAGGGTTTTATCACTAAACATGTTGCAGATATGGCTTGTTTCATCTTTGTCAGGGTGGTGTTTCTCTACAAAAGCTTGCACCCTAGTCCACATTGCACACACCTCTTTAATCTCTGAAGAAGGCACCTCCTTCACTCCCTCTTCCTCCTCCTCTGAAGCAAGTTCCTCAGCTGAAGTCTGTTGCTATTCGAGATGAAGCTCTTGCAGCTCTTCAGTGGTTAGCTCTTCCCTGTGGTCCTCCACCAACTCTTCCACATCCTCGCCACTCACCTCCAACCCCAAGGACTTCTCCAGTGCCACAATAGAGTCCACAGGGTCAGGGTCAGCCTCAAACCCTTCAAAATCCCTCTCTTGGACACAATCTGGCCACAGTTTTCTCCAAGCAGAGTTCAAAGTCCTGGAAGTCACTCCCTCCCAAGCCTTACCTATAAGGCTTATGCAATGGAGGACAGTGAAGTGATTCCTCCAGACCTGTCTTAGGATCAACTGAGTGCCCAATGTCACTTCAAAGCGCTTTTGAAACTGCTTTTGTGTAGAGTTTTCTGAAGTTAGAAATAACCTGCTGGTCTATGGGCTGGAGGAGAGGAGTGGTGTTAGAAGTCCCTAAACACTCGATCTTCCAAGTCTGGAGAATGTGCAGGAGCATTGTCCAGTAACAGGAGGCACTTGAGTGGCAATTTCTTTTCCAGGAGGTATTTTTCACACTTGGGCCAAACATATCATTAACCCACTCTTTGAAAATTTGCCTTGTGACCCATGCCTTATGATCAGCTTTCCACATCACACACAATCTGTTCTTCATGACATTGTTTTTCTTGAACACTCTGGGATTTTCTGAGTGATACATGAGTAAAGGCTTCACTTTGAAATCCCCACTAGCATTACCACATAACAAAAGAGTAAGCCTGTCTTTCATATGGCAGTGCCTTTTCCTTCTGGGTAATGTAGGTCCTTTTTGGCATTTTCTTCCAAAGCAGGCCTATTTTGTCACCACTGAACAGTTGTTGGGGTTCGAATCCTTCAGCCTTTACATAGTCCTGGAATTCGTGAACAAACTTTTCAGCCGCACATTTGTCAGAACTTGCAGCCTCACCATGCCTTACAACACTGTGTATGCCACTACACTTCTTAAATCTATCAAACCATCCTTTGCTGGCCCTAAATTCACAAGCTGCAGCACTTGTTCCAGGCATTTTCTTTGCAAGATCCTCATGCAAATGCCTTGCCTTCTAACAAACAATAGACTCCACAACACTGTCTCCCACTAATTCTTTTTCCTTAATCCACAATAATAATAACTTTTCCATCTCTTCCATTATTGGTGGCCTTTGTTTAGTTAGACAAGTTACTCCTTTTGCAACATTAGCACCTTTGATTTGTTCTTTCTTTGCCAGGACGGATGTATTTGTTGATTTATTCTTGCTGTACATCCTGGCAAGTTCCACCACCTTCATACCACTTTCAAACTTTTCTGTCACTTCACGCTTAAATTCCATGGTGTTTCTCACTTTCTTTACCACAGGAACTTTCTTTGGAGCCATGGTTACTTATCTCACAGTTGCACTGCAAAGCCAAACTGACACGCAAGCGGCTCTAGCCGGCCGTTTGGACGCGTCCCAAACAGCCGATAACCGAATTAATGGCCAATAACCAGGCGCCAAAAAACTAGCCGACAATCGAGTTGGCCAATAACAGAACCGGCCGATAACCGGGGGTCCACTGTACCAAACTTGCACACGAAAATCACTCCCTATGAAGGCAAAAGACTTGGCAGGAGATGCAACACTCCCCCAATGAAAAGCAGGGGCACCACAAGTACACTGAGAGACAACATAATAAGTGTCAGGGGCACAAGAATGTTCAACTGCCTCCCAGCATACATAAGAGGGATTACCAATAGACCCCTGGTTGTCTTCAAGAAGGCACTGGACAGGCACCTCAAGTCAGTACCTGACCAGTCGGGCTGTAGTTCGTACATTAGTTTGCGTGTGGCCAGCAGTAACAGCCAGCCTGGGTGATCAGACCCTGATCCACCACAAGGCCTGGTCTCAGACTGGGCTGTGGGGGTATTGACCCCTGAAGCCCTCTCCAGGTATACCCTTAAGGTCATTCAGCATTTAACAAGGCAACAAGTAGCATGGTATTCCAATCATAATTACACAGATAACAGGAGCTTCTTTTATACTAACCCAATTTTACCTTGTGTTATATACGTACTCAACTTGCTTCATCGATTTATATTTGCACCTTCACTCAGGCTAGGAGCAATTTTTCATCAGTGACCTAAACATTAACATTAGCTTAAGTAACTCAGACTAAAACCTGAAATGGAACACTCTGATTCATATACAGGGACAATTTTATCTGATAATACACAGCTAGAAAAAAAAAATACACCTGAGAGATTTTCCTTATTCTTTATGGACAATCAATAAAGTGTCTCTTACCTTGCCTTCATAACACACACAAAGTGTATAGTCTCCAGGAAAGTTTGTAGATTCTCGGACAAGGAAGAGACCATCCTCAGGTGGATTCAGTAGGCCTTCTGCTTCATCTCTACTGATTTTACCATGGAACCAGCTGGAAAAAAATATAGTTTCTGGAGAGTTCAAAACTTATGACTGATTGCAGGGCCCACATGAATCCTCATTATATGTACAGTGGTACCTCAGGATACGAACAACTCAAAATGCAAACAATTATGTAAGTGTATTTATGTATGGGACTTTCTAAGTGTATTTTTTGGGGGTCTGAAATGGATTAATCTAATTTACATTATTCCTTATGGGAACAAATTTGTTCGGTATCAGCACTCGAACAGCCTTCTGGAATGAATTAAGTTCGTATCCCGAGGTACCACTGCATTACAACATGCCATCATTGTCCTCATGAAGTAACTAGTGAAAGATAACATAATACAATTTTTAAGTAAAAATTGAGTAAATACTCTCCATAGTTAATAATTAATAGCATTTAATTCCACATTCATATCTTTTGTTCTGCATATCTCAGTATGCACAAAATAAATAGGTCATTACAAATCTGGATATCCAATAAAAAACTGAACTTACAAGCAACTACACTAACTTCTTGTATAAACCTAGCTCCAAACACTACTGAAGATAACTCTACAACATACAGCAGGTTCTTGAATAACATCGTTTCATTCAACATTGTTTTGTTATAATGATTAGAAAAAATTGAATGAATACAATGAATACAAACTATTGTAAAATAAAATTTCGTAAAGTAAACGATAATCATACAAATGTACGACAACAAACGATGCAGTAGAAAAGTGCTCAGCAAGCCCACCATATTTGTTGTGCTTGATTATGAACTGCGTGGTGGTAGGTGCTCCTTATAATTTTCATTTTGCAAACATTTATTTCTTGATTTAACTCTGTTGCAATGAGTGCTAAAGGTGCACTGTGCAACCCTAATGTCTGTGGCCACAAAAAACAGAAAAAAGTGTGCCATTAATAAAAAAAAGTGACTGGTAAAATTGGTTTCGTTATACATACGTCATTTCGCTCAAAGTCGCAGTTTCCAAGAACCTATTGACGCATTAAGTGAGAACTTATTGTAACTGCTACAATATTAAGCAGGTGATTAAACAGAAATACCCTCAATTCATACTCAAGAAAGTTGCATGTGGAAATACCACTGACAAACTACTACAAGCCAATATCTAACCTACTAATATTGTAAAAAATATATACACCTACCATCCGACTTACGACTGAGTTCGGTTCCGAGAAACCGGTCGTAAGTCGAAATGGTCGTAAGTCGAACTTTACTACTCAATATCAACAAAACATTTTTGTAATGACTTTATTTTATTGTTTTATTTTGGTATTTCATGTTTTACTTTACTTTTTATGTTGTTAGTACTGTATTTTATACTGTAAGGTTTAGAATAAACAATGTGTACAATACAAATAGTTGTTTATTTCCCAGAAATTTGGCATAAAAAACACTGTCAGTCGAGTGGTCGTAAGTCAAGCAGGTCGAAAGTCGGATGGTAGGTGTATTATTACATAAGGAAACACAGCACATTCAACATGTCAGCTTAGTTTCATGCTCACCCCCCTCCCCAAACAAATGCTGCCATAAAACTGATTCTTGATACAGTCTACACATCACTTGAAAATAATGAATATCCACTAGGACTATTAATCAATCTAGAGAATAAAGCTGAAGGTAAATTCCTGATAATCCCCTAGATGAACCGAAATTCAGCATGCACAATTGACACATATGCATTAGTTAAAAACAGTAAGCATTTTATTATCAAAGATCAAGTGAGAAGGTACAGTAGGGCCCCAACTAGCAACATTAAGGCATTCATGAAAATTAGGAACAGAGGTACCCCGGGTTTCGGCCACCTCCCAACTTGAACAACTATGTAAGTGTATTATTGTAAGTGCATTCTTGGGGGTCTGAAACAGGCTATTCTAATTTACATTATTCCTTATGCCTTATGGGAACAAATTCATTTGGTAACGGCACTCGAACAGCCTTCTGGAATGAATTATGGCCGAAACTCGGGGTTCCACTATACTTGGAACCTATTCTACCATATACTCTAATACGTATTAAGAAAAGTAATTTTTCAGCCATAATATTCCTTATCTAATTTCGGCTAAGTTTTCCAAAGAACTTTTGTGCAATGTTTTACATTCAGTACTGTTCCTTTTCATTTAAAAAATATAGTTCTACATGTGAAGCATGGATGATGAATGTTGCAGCGAGGAGAAGGCTGGAGGCAGTGGAGATGTCATGTCTGAGGGCAATGTGTGGTGTGAATATAATGCAGAGAATTTGTAGTTTGTAAGTTAGGAGGAGGTGCGGGATTACCAAAACTGTTGTCCAGAGGGCTGAGGAAGGGTTGTTGAGGTGGTTCGGACATGTAGAGAGAATGGAGCAAAACAGAGTGACTTCAAGAGTGTATCAGTCTGTAGTGGAAGGAAGGCGGGGTAGGGGTCGGCCTAGGAAAGGTTGGAGGGAGGGGGTAAAGGAGGTTTTGTGTGCGGGGGGCTTGGACTTCTAGCAGGCATGCGTAGCGTTTTTTGATAGGGTGAATGGAGACAAATGGTTTTTAATACTTGACGTGCTGTTGGAGTGTGAGCAAAGTAACATTTATGAAAGGGTTCAGGGAAACCGGCAGGCCGGACTTGAGTCCTGGAGATGGGAAGTACAGTGCCTGCACTCTGAAGGAGGGGTGTTAATGTTGCAGTTTAAAAACTGTAGTGTAAAGCACCCTTCTGGCAAGACAGTGATGGAGTGAATGATGGTGAAAGTTTTTCTTTTTCGGGCCACCCTGCCTTGGGGGGAATCGGCCAGTGTGATAATAAAAAAAAATAATAAAATAAAATTGTTTATTTACTGTAAACATGTTAATTAAACAGAACAGAGCTACAATACAGTATAACAAAATACTCATCACATATGCTCTGAACTTCCTCACTGTTGTAGTTGTGAGGATAAGCATGCAAGAGGGGCTGTGATGAGACAGTGATGTGTGAGTGAGTGGTGCTACCACTGTCCCCATGCCTCACTCGTCAACATATCCAGCAAACATTAGCTGTGGTGATGGCTACCACAGAATATTATTAAATTCAGTTTTTAACCAATCTCTACCTAACAAATGTGATAAGCTCTCTTTACATGCATAAAATGAATATACACAAAGTGTGAATGCATCTTGTAAAACACTGACTGAGAAAGATAACATTTATAATTCATCCTTAAGAAAATCATAACTGTAGTGCTCCCACTGTTGGAAGAGTCACTTGTTCATGCATAATTAATTGGTTCCAGAATGCCAACACTGTAAATGTAGAACATCGTAACATGGAGCACTGTCAGTTGGGGCCCTAATGTATATATAACCTTTCACTAAATATCTGAGATCTGGTTGGACTTTTTTTTTTATAAGATGGTGGGGATGTAGTTATATTCAGAAAAATAGCTTGAAGCACATTTGAAAATTAGGAACTACTATTCCTCTAGTGTACCACTAACTAGTGGATACTTCTTTCTTTCCTCTTGTAAGTTAATGACAAAATACAGTTAACAGTGATCTTCTGTCATTTTAATTATTAATACTGCACACAAGTAAATTGAGAGCGAAAAAATAAACCATAGGTAAACAAAGCACTCTTACTTACGCCATGGTATTGAGCTTTACTTCTTTTTTAAACTCCGTCACGTACGATGTTGGTATCATGCCCTCCATACCATCTCTGTTTCTTGCTTTAACCCAGTTAGGATCATTGGTTGGCCTAACTATAGTTAGTCTCTCCATCTTGGCAAAGGGCAAATCTTCTGTAGATGTACCAGAAAAAGGATAACGCGCCACAACCTCCGTACCAAGGGCCCAGGCACCCTGAAATGCCAATATCAATAATTAGTATCATATATGCTATTAAGTTTAGTTGTCAAGCAACCATAGATTGTAAAAGATGAAACTTCCACCAATAAAAAGAAAAAGAAATTCTGACTGTTGTTAATACCTTTTGTAATTTAAAATTTCTTCTAGTCCTGTTGTGTTTGCACAATATTTCTATAAATTATTTAGTTATTATGCACAATAAAAAATAATAAAGATTAAAGTGTAATCCTATGCAACTCTTAGACCGACTGTTGTCCAGGGAACCTGATTTACATTTGCAATTCCTAAACCCCCAACCCAATGCTCAAAGCTAATCCCTCTATTGTGTGTAAACATCAAATCACATGACGTTCCAGCAGAATAAGATGTATAGTACTCACAAACTTGAAAGAAAGAAATTTACAGTATGTACACTACATTAATTTGAGTTGCAATCCTTGCAAGCAATTGTTAACAAGTGTCTTCAAGCATCATCTATCACTTTTATCCTTTAACCTTTTGATATTAAGAGAAAGAATAATAAATACTTATATAACTCAGCCATTCCACATGCATTATCTTCCTTTCATAAGAAATACGTCATTTCTAACTTCATTTAGCCTTACTTTCCACATTCTTACTTTAGCAGATGAGTACCTGCCTATAGCTGCATTTCTTTCAGCATCACATTCCCACATATTCTAAGCTTTAGATAGTAACTGCCTGGAACATATCACCCAGTGTATATCTATCTTAACCTATATAATCAACCTTTCTATTTTAAATCCAATTCATAAACGTGGAGCAAGATGTGTGTAGCACAGGCAATGAAAACTAAGAGTACTATATGGTACCATCAAATTTGTATCTAAACACGCTTTCCCATAAATCAAGAAAAGTGATATTATTTGTCATTTAACCTTTTAATTTTTGCATCTGTTACAGTAATTTGTTTTCCTGAACTTTACAACTAACTGCAACACTGCATTTACTCTTCCAATTTTCATTAACTACTATACATTTTTATCGCAGAAAATGTAACCTTTGAATCTATAATTTCTGCAAGTTTTCTCTTAGGATTCTGAAAGAATCAATGAGCTATCTCTTTCATATTACATGGTACAATTTTTTCTTCTGGCTACTTCAGTAGCATGTGGCTTTCTGTTCCATACTACCCCATCACTTGACTCTGTTTTCCCATTCTCCAGTTGTCTCTTCCCATACTGGTGTTTTTCTATATCATCAAGCTTCTTCCTTTCATTCTCACCTGTATGTGCTTGATGAAGGTAAGACTAATTTCTTTACATTCTTGTGATTCTTAAACATTTAACCCTTAAACTGTACAAATGTAAATCTACGTTAACTCGTGTAGCGTTCCGAACGTAAATCTACGTTTTTTTACATAAAGCATGTAAAATCAAACGTAGGTCTACTTTCGGAGCACTACGTGAGTGAACGTAGATCTATGTTTGGACAGTTTAAGGGTTAAAAGACAATCACAATATATACAAATTATCATCATTGTCTGGAAATAAAACTAAAATTTTAAATTTCAATAAAAATATATATAAACAGCCTCTCCTCACTTAACAATGTACTCGTTTACCGATGCCTCAGACTTACGACGGGCTCTATGACCAGTAGGCATACCTAAATAATATACAGTAGGGCCCCGCTTTATGTACAATTAGCAAGAAGCGATTAGAAACTATGAAAAAAGCTAGAGAAATGAAGAAGGCAACAGCATAGAGTGGGGCAGATGGCCACCACCATCACCATTGTGGCCGCCGCTGCCACCACCACTGTGGCCACCACCGCCACCACCACTTTCGCCGCCGCCACCACTACCACTGCGGCCGCCGCCACCACCACCACCACTGTGGTCACAGTGATCATGTCTTCACCTATATAAACATCTGTCTTGACCACACCTGTGGTTACATATGTGACAACCTCACCACTAACCATAGATAAACAAAGCTAGGTGTGGGGTTTATGGAGTGGGAAGATACTGCCCCGTGTGTGCCAGTGTTTACAAGCCAGCCAGTGTGCGCGCATCTAAGGATACATTTGGTACATTCCATATTATCCATATTATCACTGTGTTTGGTGCTTGTTTCTGCAAAATAAGTCACCATGGGCCCCAAGAAAGCTTCTAGTGCCAAGCCTTCGAGAAAAAAGGCACTAATGACTATTGAAATGAAGAAAGAGATAATTGCAAAGTACGAAAGTGGAGTGCGTGTGTCGGAGCTGGCCAGGTTGTATAGTAAACCCCAATCAACCATCTCTACTATAGTGACCAGGAAAACGGCAATTAAGGAAGCTATTGTTGCAAAAGGTGCAACTTTGTTTTCGAAACAGAGATCGCTAGTGTTAGAAGATGTTGAGAGACTGTTATTGGTGTGGATAAATGAAAAACAGATAGCAGGAGATAGCATCTCTCAAGCCATCATTTGTGAAAAGGCTAGGCAGTTGCATGATATTTGGTAAAGAAATTGCCTGCAACTAGTGGTGATGCGAGTGAATTTAAGGCCAGCAAAGGTTGGTTTGAAAGATTTAAGAATCGCAGTGGCATACACAGTGTGGTAAGGCATGGTGAGGCTGCCAGTTCGGACCACAAAGTGGCTGAAAAATATGTGCACGAATTCAAGGAGTACATAGAAGCTGAAGGATTGAAACCTGAACAAGTGTTTAATTTTGGCGAAACAGGCCTGTTTTGGAAGAAATTGCCAAGCAGGACCTACATTACTCAGGAGGAAAAGGCACTCCCAGGACATAAGCCTATGAAAGACAGGCTTACTCTTCTGATGTGTGCCAATGCTAGTGGTGATTGCAAAGTGAAGCCTTTATTGGTGTATCACTCAGAAACTCCCAGAGCATTCAGGCAAAAGAATATCCTCAAGGCTAATTTGTGTGTGCTGTGGAGGACAAACAGTAAGGCATGGGTCACTAGGGACTTCTTCTATGACTGGTTACACCATGCATTTGCCCCCAATGTGAAAAATTACCTAATTGAAAAGAAATTAGACCTTAAGTGCCTCTTGGTATTAGACAATGCCCCTGGTCATCCTACAGACTTGGCAGAGCAACTTTCTGGGGACATGAGCTTCATTAAAGTCAAGTTTTTGCCTCCTAATACCACTCCTCTCCTGCAGCCCATGGACCAGCAGGTCATTTCCAACTTCAAGAAACTGTACACAAAATCTATGTTTCAAAAGTGCTTTGTAGTGACCACAGAAACTCAACTGACTCTAAAAGAGTTTTGGAAGGGTCACTTTAATATCCTCAATTGTATAAACCTTATAGGTAAGGCTTGGGAGGAAGTGACTAAGAGGACCTTGAACTCTGCTTGGAAAAAACTGTGGCCAGAATGTGTAGACAAAAGGGATTTTGAAGGGTTTGAGGCTAACCCTGAGAATCCTATGCCAGTTGAGGAATCCACTGTCGCATTGGGGAGGTCCTTGGGGTTGGAGGTTAGTGGGGAGGATGTGGAAGAGTTGGTGAAGGAGGACAATGAAGAATTAACCACTGATGAGCTGCTAGATCATCTTCAACAGCAAGAGGCCAGACCTGAGGAAACTGCTTCAGAGGAGGGGATAGAGAAATTGAAGAAGTTGCCTACTTCAAAGATTAAGGAAATGTGTGGAATGTGGCTTAAAGTGCAAACCTTTTTTGATGACAATCACCCTAACACAGCTATTGCAAGCCGTGCTGGTGACTATTACACTGACAATGTTGTGAACCACTTTAGGAAAGTCATAAAGGAACGAGAGGTACAGGCCTCTATGGACAGATATTTTGTGCGACAGAAGTCCAGTGACTCTCAAGCTGGTCCTAGTGGCATTAAAAGAAGAAGGGAAGTAACCCCGGAAAAGGACTTGCTACCTCAAGTCCTAATGGAAGGGGATTCCCCTTCTAAACACTAACACCATCAACACACTCGCCTCCTCCCATCCCATCAATCATCACAAGATCTTCATTAAAGGTAAGTGTCAATTATTCTATTGTTATTAATCTGTTGTTATTGTAACTATTCTGTTGCATTAAACTTAAAATTTCATGTGGTAAATTTTTTTTTTCATACTTTTGGGTGTCTTGCACGGATTAATTTGATTTCCATTATTTCTTATGGGGAAAATTAATTCGACTTTTGATATTTTCGACATTCGATAGCTCTCAGGAACGGATTAGTATCGAATGTCGAGGGTCCACTGTATATGTATGTATGTATGCGTACACACACACGCACACACACACACTGATACCTTGACTTACAAGTTTAATTATTTGTTCTGTGACCCAGTTTTTAACTCAATTTGCTCGTATATCAAATCAATTTTCCTCATTGAAATTAACTGAAATGTCATTAATCCATTCCAGCCCCCATAAAACCACCCCAATTTTTTGTTACGGGTTTTTAAATAAGAAAAATGTATTTCTTCTTTCAACAAACCGGCCATATCCCACCGAGGCTGGGTGGCCCAAAAAGAAAAACGAAAGTTTCTCTTTTTAAATTTAGTAATTTATACAGATGGGGTTATTAGACCCTTGCTCCTGAAAAATGTATTTATAAATAAGAAATTATTTTTTGCCTTTTTTGCCAGGTCCCAGCAATGTTTTAGAAATGCTGGAGTATACAGTGGATCCCCAGTTTTTGGCTGGTGCAGAAATTGTACAATTCGGATTTTGAGTACTTTTTTTTGGCGAAACTTCCCCCTGGGTTTCATACATCCCCTCGGAAATCATTGGTACCAGACTCGCGCACCTGGGCCACCCATACGTTCGTGACTCACTCTTGGGCACATTAAATGTCTTATTTTAGGTTAATATAGACATTCTCATTAATCCATCTATGATATTTTCTTCAAAATTATGTAAGAAACAGGTTACAGAGCATATAAACATTCCTTTGTTACTCATTCACTCAGTGTCCCTCTAGTCTTAATGCCACAGTAATACTAATAGTACATATAATAATCATTCTTGGGCACATTAAATGTCTTGTTTTACGTTAA